AAAGAAGGTTTTAGATTTTTAAAAAGTATGTTAATAAATGTGACAGTGTGCATAAGCTGGACACATTTCTTGAAAAAGATTTGCTAACTTCTGGTAATTCATACAAAGGAATAGAAACGGGCTGGTGAGATGCTTCAGTGGGTAAAGGCGCTTGCTGCCAAGCCTGATGCCTTAAATGCCATTTCCAAAATCCACTTGATGGAAGGAGAAAACCAGCTTCCACGAGTCGTCCTCTGACCTACATAACACACACACACACACACACACACACACACACACACACCTTCAATAAGTAAGTAAAAAAATAAATGTAAAATATTTAAAACATAGAAACTGAACACCTATTAAAGAAACAGAAACCGTGGTTTAAAGGTTTCACATGCACATACAAATAACTCAAGCACAGAGGGAATGTTAGCTTCCTATTTCTCTAACAAATACTGAAATAATCAACTTTCAAAAAGAAAAGGTTTATCTTGATTCACAGCCCAGAAGTTATAGTCCCAGGCAGCTTGCTTCTGGGGCTCTGGGGCTGTGGGGACACGTTGCGGTGACACGTGGTAGAAGTGCTTGGCTGCACAAAACCTCCCAGGAAGTGAAGAAGAGAAAATGGAGGAGAGAGGGGCCCCACAGTCCTCTTCCAGGGAATGCAAGCCCCAACACTCACAAGGCCTCCCACTCTGCCCACCCCAAATGCACCGAGTGGAGAGCTCACCCTTAACACGACCTTGAGAATACATGTAAGATCCAAACTCCTGCTGAAGGCTCAGCCGCTAAGTTCTTTTAAACAAGTCCAGATAAAAATCAGCCAATTTATAAACAACACAAAATAAGCCTTTTTCTTCCAGAGAGCAGAGAGAGAGAGAGAGAGAGAGAGAGAGAGAGAGAGAGAGAGAGAGCGAGCGCCAGGTGACCGTTGGTGTCACCTGGGAGCTAGAATCACCCGGGACACTGGCCTCTGGGCATGTGCATAGGGACTGTCTTGATTGAATTGAGTCGAGGTGATCCACCCATTGTGGGTTGCCCCGGTTCCTGGGACCGGGACCCTGGACTGTGTGGAAAGGAGGAAATAAACTGAGCACAGACATTCCTTGTTCTCTTGATTGTGGATGTGAAGCGCTCAGCTGCTCCAAGCTCCCTTTGCCTTGAACCCTGCGCCATGATGAACTGTATCTTGAATTGTGAGTCAGAATAAACCCCCTCTCCTTTACATTGTTGCCATCGGGATATTTTAACACAGCCACGGGGAAAGAAAACACAGCTCCCCAGTTCTTTATGAAATCGCATGAACCCCATACCAAATACAATAAAGTGTGGCTCAGCGGTGCAGCGTTTCCTGGTGTGCACGAGGCCCTTGATTGGACCCATGCCCTGAAACAAAGCTGAACTGATGAGACAGTCTTAAGAAGGGAAAATTACAGAGCATCAGGACGAAAATGAGCAAATTAAATTTTTATCGTCCATGATACAACAATTATATTGAATCACTACTAAGCGGAGTTTGTGCTAGGAATACAAAAGTGGTTTAATACTCACTGCCTTTTAGAGGGAGAGAAATAACAAGATAGAAAACACATCTAATCTACAACCTAATAAAAAAAATGGTCGCCGGGCGGTGGTGGCGCACGCCTTTAATCCCAGCACTCGGGAGGCAGAGCCAGGTGGATCTCTGTGAGTTCGAGGCCAGCCTGGGCTACCAAGTGAGTTCCAGGAAAGGCGCAAAGCTACACAGGGAAACCCTGTCTCGAAAAACCAAAAAAAAAAAAAAAAAAAAAAAATGGCAGAAAGAGAGTATCGGAAGCGCTCCATGATGCCAGGTACCAGGGCTCACAACTGTCATCCTGGGGCTAACTAAGCCAAGGGGATTGTCTTGATCAACACAGAAAGATGGGGGCGGGGGGGAGAAGAGACAGAGACAGACGGAGATTTTTCACAAAGCAGAAACTTCCGATAAACAGTGATCATACCTAACCATCCGACATAGTTCTAGATCTGTTTGCACCTCCTTCCACAGAGGCAGACCTCTGTCCCTCTTGGCTACCATTGTGTCCCAAAGTCACGACAGATTAGAGGTGTTCCTCACATATTATTTTACCGTTACAGAAATGGAACCCAGGACCTCATGCATGTTAGGTAAAGCTGGGCCTCCGAGCCATGCTTCCACCCCTCACGTAGTTGATACACGACAAACAAAAGTATTAGATGTTGTAGGTGAGAGACGGGCTCATGACTTACCCGCACGGATCTCCAACCCCCAACCACAGCCAGGAGCCCAGGGCCACAGCAGTCCTATTCCTACTAGCCAGCTGCAAGAGCCCAGGCGGGTAACTCAGCATCCGGAGTCTGGCTTTCCTCAGCTGAGAAATGTGATCAGTGTTGGTCGCCTGGATAATACATATTGAACGCACTTGTCCCCAAGGAACCAGCAGGCTGTTATCACCACTACTTCCATGACATGCTCATTCAGATGAGTGCGTGTGCTCACACAGGCATTCGCACACACGTGTACCATCCCTAGGTGCCAAGGGACTTTCATCATGAGCCCCAGTGGTCAGGAGAGGCTGTCACTTCCTGGTGAGGTGGCCAGGAATACAGAGAACGTAAAGGTCATAGAGTAAGTTTCAGGCTGGAAGGAAGAAAGAGCAGAAACTAACGTCAAGGCCCTGGAAGGGCAGGACTTGGAGTCACAGACTAATCTTCCCTCAGGACCTGAGATGCTGGCTATGTCCGGATCAACCCAGGCAGATGACACGATTCAGCGCTACTGAAGGAACGTGTCCAGTGTGTGGGGTGAACTCACCTGTGTGCTCACAGCCATTCCCGTGAGGAAGGGGCCAGCCTAAATGCCACTTCCCAGAGGGGAAACCGAGGCTGACATGATGCTATAGCTTGGCCTGTGTTACCGCTCTCCTCTGAAGCAAGGGTGCAACCCTCAGACGCCAGGTGGGCATGAAACAACAGTCCACACTCAGTCCTTAGGGATCAACTGCCACCGCACTTGTGACCCAGGGTCAGTCCAGATGGCAACCCTCCAGGAACTTGCTCCCCAGAACCCCAAGGGAGCCCTGCCTTCTGCAATTTTGGTAAATAAAGCTATGGCCATTATGTGCCCAGGGCTGGGCAGACTGGGGTCGAAGGGGAGGGGTAGGGGACTTTAGGAAGACTGTCCCTCCCACCCTGGCAGGAGCAGCAGTAGTAAGGGGAAAACCCCAGGCCCACCGAGACTGCCTGCTGTGACGCTGGCCAGGTTCTTCCCCTGGGCAGACCTCCTAAGACGAAAGGAAAGCTCTTGGCCAGGGGCCACAGCAGCTGGGCCACCTTCCTGAGGCCTAGCCTGGCTGTGGTCCCTGACCTCTCCTTCACAGTAAGTAGCTGGGGCCGGAGGCTCCCTCCCACTCCTGGTTTCTTAAAACAAGAACAGGAAGCAAGGAGAGTTGTTTGACCAAACACTGGAGGGAAACCCACATCCGCTTTTCACCGGGGAGAGCTGGAGGGAGCGTTTAGAGTGCAAGCGTGTACAGGACCCAGGCTCCAAGCGCCAACCGCAGCCCGGCCCTCACGGACCAAACGCTGCTCAGAGACCTTCCTCAGAGATATGTAGACGCACACCCTTGTTCATGGGGGGGGCTGCTCATCTGGCTGGTTATCTGTGGGGCCTGAGTGCGCATGCACACATGAGCGGACATACCCACCCACACCCACACCCTAGCCTCATTTACATTTTTGCGTTCTGGGAGGGTTAAGTAGACACAACATCTCCCAGGAAAGAGCAACAGTTGGCCTTAACTCTTGCTTCCCTTGGGAACACCGTGTGGAGTAGAAAAGACCGCCCTGTACTGGTCCCTGAGCTGCTGCTATTCCCAGCCACTGCCAAGTTAAATGGAGATGTGAAGGAGGAGACAGAAAGCCTGGGAACTCAAAGGACCAGGTCAGGAGGGGCGGGGGCTACTATGAGCAAGGGAGGTGGGAAAAAAATGGATAGACAGATGGATTAAGGGAGGAAAGAAGGAAGAAGGGAAGGGTGGGTGAATTCAAGAACAGCAAAAGAAAGCATGCCAGAGCCATCTTTTGGACCGAGACCACCATTCTCCCTGCCGCAGGACCCAGCCTTGGGTGTGTAAAGCACTTGGACCCCCACAGTGGGCTGATATTCTGGGAAGGAGATCCAGATAACTGGAAGGAAGAAGAAGCTTGCCCGGGTTTCTGGGGGCCCAGTGGGAGGCAGGGGACCAGGAGTGACTTCCTCCCACAGCCTGGTCCTGTGGCTGTGTGGTGGGTAGCAGAAGCGTCCAGGGGTTGGGTTTCCTGGAAGAAGGTCAGGAAACACCCACCGAGGCTCCTGTCACTCCTTCTTCCTCCTACCCTGCCAACCATCCTCAGTCACTCCACTCACCAAGGCCAGAGCCTGCCATAGAGAGGGAGGTCCTGACAGATGTAGCACTGGTTCGTGTGTGTGTGTGTGTGTGTGTGTGTGTGTGTGTGTGTGTGTGTGTGTGTGTGTGTGTGTGTGTATGTGTGTGTGTGTGTGTGTGTGTGTGTGTGTGTGTGTGTGTGTGTGTTCTGAAAGACTTGGAGAAGTAGCCTGGCCCTGGGAAGCATTGTGTGTGGCAGGTAGGTAGGACCTCCATATGGAACCCTGCAGCCTGTTACCCAGGCCCCTGAAAAAGTTCCAGCCTTGCTCAGGACAGGCAGGGACAAGGTAGCAGGCCTCCTTCAGTCTGCCTTTCCAACCAGCATTGTCCAGGTGGCCTTCTTGAACACAAGTCACACTCTTCGCAGCACTGTCCTGGGTCCCCATCTTCCCTATGGACACACCTACTCTATTCTGTGCAAGGGCCCTGGGGTTGATGTAGGAAGCTAAACACACACGGACCGCCCTTACCTCACAGCCAGCGTGGTACTCACGTGGCCTCTTCACACCCCTACCACAGTCACACAGTCTCCAGAAAGAAGCAGCCAGCCGCCAAGGGCCACCCAGCTCACACCCACCTCTTACTCACCGTCCAATGTCTGAGCAGACCTTGGAGTCAGCAGCTACAGCAGCGTGGGCAAAGGCGTCAGGGCCACAGGAGGCGCGATGATGAGAAAGAGCCACAGCCAACACAATCAGACCCAGACCCAGACCCAGACCTAGCAGGACCAGGCAGACTGTGGCCCTGTGACTCCAGGCCATGGCTCAGGGGTCCAGGGAGAGAGGGGAGGCAGGTGGGCACACAGGGCAGTGGACAGACAGAGGAACAAACTGGCAGACAAGTGGAAAAGAAACTCTACAGGTAAACTCAGGCAATCAGATAGACAGGAAAAAAAAAAAAACAAAAAAAAACAACCAGTGGGTCCAGAGATAAGTTATCACACAGGCCAGACAACTGGATAGAAAAGATCATAGATAGGCTTACAGATAGGTGGGTAAGCAGGTTTACGAAGGACCAACAGGAAGCCAGCCAGCCAGCCACATGGGTTTATGGAGAGACAGACAGCAGACGGACAGACACAGCGGCCAGGCTGCCGCCCTCCTCCAGCGCTTGCTACAGAGGCAGATCTGGCCACAGGTCTGAACTTCCAGTTTTCAGCTCCTACAGCTTGGCCCTGGAGGCAGGCCAGGCATCTACAGGGAGTTTTTTCTTGAAGAGAAGGGCCGGCTGCTGCTGTTAACTCTTTCACTGCCCGTGGATCCCAGGGTCTTTCCTGGTGGCCCCACAGCACCCAGGGGGCTCCTCATCCCGGTGCCATGGGGAATGTGATGCTTGCCAAACCCAGAAGAACCTAGGGCACAGGGCTCACAGAGGCTCTCTTGCCACTTCCCTGGCTCCCAACAGCTCAGGGTCAGGGTGTCTCCTGCCGGGTGGAGCTCCATCCCCCAGCCCCATACTCTCAGCTGGTTCCATCTAGGCAGCAGCTCAGTCTAGGCCCCACATGGTACAGGGAAGTGGAGCAAGGCGGCCACTCAAGACCATTTATCACAGCCTGGCACAGCCTCATCCATACATGGGAAGGGGGTGAGCAGACGGGCCACATGTCTAATCCCTGGCACCCAGTGCTACTGCATCATCCACCCTGGGACATGGTGACCCAGAAACACAACCTTAGACCTCTAGAGGGTGAGGATGTCCTGTCTGGGTACCCTCACTTCTACAGCTCAGAGCCGCCCCGGCTGCTAGCCTGCCTCCCTGGGTCCAGTGGTACTTAGGACTATGCCTGTGCTCTGATGAGCCTCTTCCTCTTGGGGGCCTGGTTTGGGTCTGGTCTTTCCCTGGCCTCAGGATGTTCAAACGGGAGGCAGCTGGAGGAGCGAGGCCCCCACTGAGGTGCTCTCGAGCAGACTTCTGCTTGCAGGGCAGAAGAGCCCTGGGCTGGACCTTCTCTCCGAGTTTCAGTACCTTCCCCGCATCCCTCACTCTCTCTTTCCCCTGAGCATGGCCCTCTCCCATCTCTATACCCCCTGCTTGATACCAACAACAACAACCAAAAAAAAAAATGAGTGCCAGAGAATGTCTGCACAAGCCACTCAGCCTGTCAAGTGTCCCATCCAGAGGCTCTGCTCAGCTTGGGCGAGAGATACTGTTTCCTGTAAGTCTGTTCCCACATCTGCCTAGAGGGAGAGGGTAGTGTCTGTGGGAATCTCCCCTATCCCAACTGTCCCCCACAGTGTCATGTCATTCATTGCTCAACCAGGAGCCAGAGCACATTCCTGAGTGTGGGCCAGCCCACCCACTGGCCACAGCCCTCAAAACTCTAAAGACAAAGCCATGGGGGGTCAAGCAGGCTCAAGGGTGACTTCCCATCCTGGTCAGGCATCAGCCGCAGTGAAGAGGCTCTGAGAATTCTCAGAGGACTGCAATCACGCTGGGCTGATGGTGGAGAAGCCTGTTCTGGGGCCTCTGAAGCCCTTTACCCAGGAAGCGATGGGGAAAGACGGTATGGAAAGGCAACTCAGGTCCCTAAGTCCATGAAGAAGCTCTAGGCTAAACCCCATGGGTTTGGGAGAGTAAGGGACGCCTCCAGGACCCTGGGTTCACAGAACTCTCTGGCCAGTCCCATGGGGCATGGAACACTGTGATATACCACACCTCAACACACTAGCCTGCCTTCTCCTCTGCATATATGGAGGAATGACTGCCACCCATTTATGGCCCAGCTTCTGCCTTACCCAGGGAACCCCGGAGACAGACCCTTAGGGCCCAGACATGGATCATACCTACAGGTATAAAATCCTGCTTTCCTGTGGGCAGGTTGGAAGCACCAGGATTTCTAGCCTCCTGGGTCCCTTCTCCAGCCACTGGGCCCCTTCCCTCAGAGGGCCCCAACTTGTGCTCACTTCTAGGGGCAATATTTAGCTCTGAGGCTGGGAGTGCCCCAATGGTCCACTTCTATATCTACAGTGTTTCATGACCTGTTCACAGCTGTGAGTCCTACAGACCTTGGCACGTTGGGAGGGGCTGCCCTTTAGGAGTGTGCTGGCTGGTTTTATATCAACTTGACACAAGTTAGAGTCATTAGAGAGAGAGCCTCAATTGAGAAAATGCCTCCATGAAATCAGGCTGTAGGCAAGCCTGTAGAGCATTTTCTTAGTGACTGATGGAGGAGGGCCCAGCCCATTGTGGGTGGGAACATCCTGGTGCAGATGGTCCCGGGTTCTGTAAGAAAGCAGGCTGAGCAAGCCAGGAGGAGCAAGCCGGTAAGCAGCGCCCCTCCATGGCCTCTGCATCAGTTCCTGCCTCCAGGTTCCTCTCCTACTTGAGTTCTTATCCTGACTTCCTTTGACGATGAACAGTGATGTGGAAATGTAAGCCAAATAAACCCTTTCTCCCCAAGTTGCGTTGGTCATGGTGTCTCATCCCAACAATAGTAATCCTGACTAGGACAAGGAGGGATGCTGTGCCTAACTGCTCTTCTGGGCTCACTCACTTTGAGCTGTGTTCTCATGGATCTGTGGGTTTCCTGTAGCTGGCTGACCCATTTGTGTTCTTTGAGAACTAGTAAGACAAGCTTGGATTTCACTTTGGGTCTGTGCTTGGAAATTGATCTCAAGTATGGCTCTGGTCAAGCTGCCATGTTTCTGCCTCTTGTCTAGTCTGCTTCCCTTCAGTTTTACCTCCACAAATGCTAGGCAATGAAAGCCCACACCTAACCTGGACATGAAGCATTCTCAAGGTTCTCCCACAGCTAGGGGGTTGCTTTATCCCGGTTAACGGCACAGTCGGGGCGCCCTCTAGTGGCTGATACTGGAAGTGTTACTGCCTATGACAATGTAGGATGAGGACCCCAACTCCCAGGCACACTTGCTTCCCGGACTGAAAGGTTGAGGTTAGCTCCATCACTAACAGTAGTAAGTCTTAGGATCCTGCCTCATCATTCTCCAAATCCAATGGCTCCATTTCATAACCAGACATTAAAATCCAAGATATGGGAAGTCCAACCAGCAAGACTTCCTGGAGCTTGGCAGTTGAGCCCATTTATTGTGCTGCCCTGTCCCACTCAGGAGCAGCATGTCCTCCAAAGTCCCACTCTTGTTCCTGGTCTGTATCTCATCCTGGATTACAGGTTGGTCTTGCCCCTTCTGAGCACTCAGTAGCCAGCTGGCTCCCCGCCTTTCCTGGAGTCTGAGGCAGCTGCCCAACCACTGGATGTTTGAACAACGGCCTGAACCACAGCAATGAAGGTGTTGGTGACCTCTGTGTAATGGTTCCGAGTCTTCAGGCCTGCAGCCACCACCTGTGGGTGAGAGGGCCAAGGGAGTCTCAGCAAGGCCGCAGAGGTGGCTGAAACCATCCCTGTATGGTCCGCGGGCCGCACAAACCCAGTTAGTGCTACATCCGGCCAGGTGACCAGGAATAACTAGAGAGAGGCCGCTGGGTTTCTAAGGTCTCCTGGGATCAGGCTGTTTGGCTGTCACTGAGCAAGGGCGCAAGGTGACCCATGCTAAGTCATGAGGTGACCCATGGGGACCATAGGCCTTGGACAGGGGATACTAGCCACTCTTTGCTCTGATGACTCAGAAGATGCCAGTCCCCAGTCAAGGATGTCCTGTCACCCCACACCATCGTTCTGTTTCCTCGGCTCTCAGCCTACCTGATCGATGTTTTTCTCGATTGTTGTGGTATTGGGCAAAAGCTGGTTGTGTAGGCGGGGCTCCTCCACCGCTCTCTTCACATCGTAGCCAAACCACAGGTTGTTGATGATGGCCTGGAGGGAGAGGATAGCCGAGATGTCCGCATAGCCCCGGAGCAAAAGGGCAGGGAGAGATGGGGGTGGGAAGGGTTAGGCCAAAGGCATGTACCAGTGCGGTGGATGTGGTGATCTGTGTGCCTCCCGACGCTCCCACTACCATCTGGACCTTGCCATCCTTATCCACAATGATTGTGGGGCACATGGATGAAAGTGGTTGCTTCCCTAGGGTCCGTCGGAGGAGACAGAGAGGCTGGTCGGTTGCCTGTCAGGGTACCAGCCCCCTCCCAACTCAAGTCCTTTATCCCCAGATTCCCACCCTCACCTGGCTTGATGAAGTTGGCTGGTGAGGGGGATACCCCAAACTGGTTGACGAAGTTGGGTGAGCTGAAGTCGTCCATCTCGTCGTTAAACAGGATACCGCTGACCCGAGAAAGGACCTTGGAGCCGAAACTGAAGATAGGCCAGCTCAGATAACAATACAGCTAACAACCCAGCCGTTTCCCACCTGGTACCCACCCATACCAGGCCAAGAGGACCCCCCGGAAGGCCCACCCTAGGCATGCTATCAAGGTGGAGCCTCTGTTTCCCAACACGAAAGAGGGAGGCCCTCACAGGAAATGAAGCTAGCTCCCAACCCACTACCCCTGTCCCCGTACTGCCCAGCAGCCGCACAGCCCCTACTAGAGGTTGATGGTGCTCGTAGCAGACACGGCACTGCCATCCTCCGCAACCACGGACAGGTGAGCAGTGCCCCCATCATCGGGAAGGTAGAACTCAGGCTCATAGTAGGAGGTCGGATGAGTGGTTCCGTCAGAGATGCGGCTCGAAGCTGAGTGGCGAAGAACTCAGAGCTCATGTTGCGGATCACCTGCCGAGACCCCAGAGCTGGCCTGAGGAGGTTAGGAGGAAGCAGGGGGAAGGGAGACAACAGGGCTGTCCCAGCAAGTCTCAAGAGGCCCCAGCCGTGGATCTGACCACAACTTACCTCTATGCTAAACCAGGACTTCCCCAGGACCAAGGCCAGCACCTCCTAAATTCCTGTCTGACACCCTCCGTCACCTCCAACTGACGTCTGGCCATCCCCCAAGCCTCTAGACTCTTGCCCTGATCTTACATGATGTGTGCGATTGTTTATGGAACGTGTGCTACATGCTCAGAGCTGAGGAACCAACAGGGAAGAGACCCACAGGTCTTGCCTCCCTAGAAGGCAGGAAGAGTCCTGGAAACGAGGGGCCAGAAAACAGGGATGGGAAAGGGGGAAGCTGAAGGCATTTTGGTGGAAATGGTACCTAAAATGAGCCCAGAATGAAGCCTAAAAGGTAAGTACAAAGGCCCTAGATAACAGAGAATGAATGGAATGAGGAGAGAGGATGCTGGCTAGCACACATCCATTCTGTAAGGTCTCATTGGTCTATAAAGAGTGGTTTGGCTTTTGCTATAAGCCACACACAAGCTTGGGGTAGAGGAGTAAGCAGGTTGGGAAACATTTATATAGAGTCCCTCTGGGGGCCATGGAAAGGCTGTGGACAGCCAGACTGAAGATGAAGATGTCACTGTGGGTGGGAGAAAAAGAAGAGAGGATGCCCTTGAGGTCTTTGGCCTGGAGTTGCCATTAACTGGGAAAGTAAGTGCTAGAGAAGGAGCAGTCATGTAGGGGGGCAGTGAGGGACCTGCTTGCTTTGGGACACACCCCCACGATACACAGAAGGGAGGATGGGACCATGCCCATAGGTTCATGCGTGAAATTTACAGGCAAACAAAGACACAAACACAGCGTGGGCACATGATGGCTGCTGAAGGCTAATGTCGAGAGAAGATGAGGAGGAAGAGGAAACGAAGGGGCAGCCAGGAAGAAAGGGACCCTGGGACCTGTCAGGTTTAGGCTAAAGGCCAGTTAGGCCATTCCCCTGTAGCAGCCTTTCCCTGTCTTCGGAGCTTCACAGCTGTTGACCAAGTCCCCTATTAAGAGTCTGTCTGTACATCTGTAACAGGCTCCCCAGGTATCCCGACTCCAGGAATGAGCTGCTAAATCCCAGACCACATTCAGTAAAGGCTGTCCTGCGGTTCTTCCTAGCGCCACCCACTAGCTGACTCTAGGATCCCTGTGGCTACAGGGCAAGGCAGACACCCCACCTGCCTGTGAGTCTGTAACTCTGAGGTACCCCCCCCAGGTCCCCACTCTCCCAGTGACAATTTACAGACCCCCAGGCAAACAGACTCTGGAACATCCTAGGCCTACTGGTAGAATGGTTCATCTTAACTAACTGCACCCCTCCCCCTCCTCCCCCTCCTCCTCCTCCTCCTCCTCCTCCTCCTCTTCCTCCACCGTGTCATCTAAGTCATACATTAACAAGATTCCTTCCTCCCTTCCTCACCATGCAAGATACCCTGTCCCCCTCCCCCAGAGCCCTAAAACATTCTTGTCCGAGCAGTCTCAGATCTTCTCTTTTCTCTTCAGACCCCTCCACGCTCTCACTGGCATCAGATAAATCTTATGGCCTCTCGGGCCGTGGTGGCACATGCTTTGAATTCCAGCACTCAGAAGGCAGAGGCAGGTGGATCTCTGTGAATTCAGGTTTTGTCGCAGCAACAAAATGGTCTACCACAAGAGGCCCCATGGCAAAGTGTAAGGTGTGATTTGATGAATAATGCACCTAAGAGACACTGAGACCCTGGGGTCGGGGTTCCACCACTGGCAGATAATGAGTCGTGTGATCTTAATGCTGGGCTCCTCACTCAATGGGTGAAGCCCTTGCTCTTAGGAAATACAGCCTGGACTGTGGCATTGGTGACCCGTTCAGGAAAACGAGGATGGGGAGAGTAAACGAGGTGGTAAAGAGAAAGGAAGGACTTGTAGCAAAATGCTCACACTCAAGTAGGGGCTCCGGGGAAAGCACACAGGTGCACACTGATGTTTCAGGTTGGTTTGTGTGGGGGTACAGTTTTGCAAAATGAAACTGGGGCTAGGTTTGGTGGCTTGAGTCTGTAACCCCAGTACTAGGAGGCTGAGGTAACAGGGTTGCCTTGAGCTTGAAGCCATTTTGGACTACAGAGTGAGCCTCTTTGCCCACCTAGTTTTAACCCCTCCCCCTCATCATTCCTGAGGGATGCAACCTCTCCATCCATTCCTCCCTTCTGCACTGAGCACTCTAGAATCTTCCAGGCCAAGGGCCCAAGCATGGGTAAAGGATCTGAGACAGGATCCTGGGTCTCAGGTGGAGGGCTTGGGGGGAGGGGATCACAACACACCAATGATCCATTCTCAAGTCTGTTTTCCTCAGTTTCCCTCACACTATGAGCTCCACAAAATGGAGGTCAGGGTATAGAGTAACAAGTCTACCCTGAAATCAAACTTACTTGTAGTAATGGGTTCAGAAAGCATGCATAAGGCTGGGGGTGGGCTTTCCGAGCTCACCCAGCACCCCTTTGGCAGATCCCTCACCCACTGTGGGATAGCCCCTTACCTGAGACACATCGACAAACTTTGGGTCGCCAAGCATGGTCCTCTTGGCATAGGCAAACCGGAAGGCCTCCACGATACGGTGATACGTCAGCGCCTTCTCTTCAGGGGTTGCCACACTCTTTGGAGAGAAGTTGTATCCTGAGTGGTATCCAAGCACACATTGGCAGGCAATTAGGGCCTGGAGGGGCTCAAGGGGTTAATAGATCTCTGAGCCATGTTCCCCGCACTCTGCCTTAGGAAAAGAAATACGTAATAACCAATAGCAGTGGCCATTTGAGAAAGATGTGGTCAAGACAACGGCATACCATCATGGACATGACAGGTACAGTTCGGGGGTCCCGAGGTCTATAGGTTTCTTGAAGACCACTTAGATTAGCCAGAAATACACTCTGGACACGGCCTCTGCCACACTCTTCTTCTTCCGGAACATTTTTCCTCTTCCAGCTACTGTCACCCCCTCCCACCCCCCATGGGCACCCCCTGGCACTCAACACTGCTCCAGGAGGCCACAGCCATGAGGCAGGGCGGATACTCTATCAGTTCACTGATGGAAAGACAGAGGGCAAAGAGACCCAGCCAATACGGAGTACCAGGAAGGACACACTATGTCCCGACTCCTTAGCAGGGCTAGAGAGAGAGAGATAGCTCACCTTTGAGGATGTTCAGGATGAGAACCAGCACTGGCCCGCTGAGTGGGGCACTGGGCACATACAGTGTCGAGTCCCCAAGGCTGATGCTCATCGGGTGCTCAATCAGCTCCGCACGGTAGTCATTCAGGTCCTGGACCGTCATGATGCCTCCTGCCGTGGGACAGCGGCTCAGTGGATGTGCGCTGGGATTGTACCATGGTTGGGGACAGGGTTGCATCATGTGGGACTTGGTTTACCACTGGGCAGAGAATAGGGTGAAACCAAGAAGTATGGCCAAGGGTGAACTATGGGGTCAGGGCTGTTTACGAAGGAGGATGGTCACCATTGAGTAAAAAGACAGGTGTGTACCACAGTGAGGAGACAGTCTATACCATCAGAAGGGACCACAGTGCTATCAGATCAGACTGGTAACCCTGAACATCACTAGCAACCCTAGGCACTAATGGTGCTTACCACCTATACCAGGCCCAAACAACAGCCTCCTAACCAACCTTCTTTCATCTCTGCAGCCAGAGCTTGTGGTGATAATTTGTTGTACTCTAATAAAACTTGCCCGAAGGTCAGAGGATGGAGCCAGCCACAGAGTTAAACATAGAGGCCAGGCAGTGGCGGCACACACCTTTAATCCTAGCACTCGGGAGGCAGAGATCCGTCTGGATCTCTGTGAGTTTAAGGCCTCACTGGGCTACATGAGACTGATCCAGTCTAGGAGAGAAACAGAGCCAGGCAGTGGTGGCACACACTTTTAACCCCAGTATTTGGGAAGCACACACACGCCATTAATCCCAGCACTGGGAAGGCTGAGATAGGAAGTGAAATGGCTGGGCAGAGAAAGGCATATAATGTGTGAGGAGACAGGAACTCAGAGCCTTTTGGCTGAGGACTCAGAGATAGTTCATGGAGTTGGCAAGGTGATAAGTGGCTGCTGCTTGTTCCTTTGTCTTTCTGATCTTTCAACATTTACCCCAATATCTGACTCCGGGTTTTTATTATAAGACCATTTAGGATTTATACAACAAGAGGTCTTTCCCAAGTGTAGACTACCCGCTTCTTCCATCCCACCTTTCCCAGACTCCTCCTTCATGACCATATAGATGGGAGAAGACTCTCGATTCTCTGAGGAACTGGTGCTAAGTAGGATTTACAGTCGTAGATGTCAACATGCTAATTTCCCCACTTCATGGAAACAGGACAGAAATAACAAGGCCACAGCCAAGCCCTCAGACTGCCCCACCCAAAACCCCTCTAAGAGCCCTCTCAGAAATTCTTCCTCAGACCTTGTAATCCTCCCAGTGAGTCAGATCTTCCTTCTTCCCCTTAGCCCATGCTCTTCTCTCTCTGCCTGACATCCATTGCCTCTTACTTCTCACGGGCCATCCTCCCAGCCCCTCCGTCTAGCTCCTCCTCAGCCCCAAGGGCTCCTATACCCCTACTCATGCTCTAGGGGGTTTCCCCGTGCAGCTCAGCCTCTAGGGATGAGCCAGGAGCTATGGATCCAAGTGGTCCACACTGACCCTCCCCTGCCAAGTGCTCCCTGAGGACCCAGACGCCAACCTTGGCAGGGAGCACCTCAGAGCCTGGGCCCCACTCACTGGAGCCCACTCACCAGCCTCCTGGATGTCCTTCACAATCTGGGCTGTGAGGCTCCCGTTGTAGAAGGCCTGGGCACCTTCCTGGGCCAGTACCTGCAACGTATCGGCCAGCCTGGGCATAGTCACTGTCTCGCCCTCCTGAAGCACCTTCCCTTGACGGCAGAAGACCTCGCTGAGGCAGAGAAGACTCATGTAAGGCATCAGATGCGGAAAACTGGACCTGTCATACCTCACACCCACCCCTCACCCTTTGGTCCTCAGGATGTAGAGTACAAGTACAGGTAGAGCCTGTCTGGGGGGCGGCTATGCTCTCACTTGGGGTTTCTAGTTGTCCCATTTTGCTCAGACCACAGTGTTCACTCTAAACCAGGTTCTAAATGTGTCTACACACACACACACACACACCCTCACACACACCCTCACACTCACACACACACAATGAGAGGTTTAACAACTTAACCCCGCTGAGCAGCAGGCTCCTGAGAGCAGAGCACAGAGCTCCACCAGCCCCGCCCCCCAGGCTGGGTCACCTGGACATGAGGCTGCTCACCACAAGGCAGGTGTCTGTTCAACGATGTCCCGTTTTCTGTCCAGGGCCATTGCCAGGCCCTTGCCCACAGGGAAGCCGTAGCGGGCCAGCTCAATGCTGGGCTGGAAGAGGCGAGCCCAGGGTAGTCGTCCATGCCGCTGGTGTGCCAGCTGGTAGCCACTGATTTCACCAGGAACTGCCACCGAAAGGCCACCTAGGAGCCAGGGTTGAGGGGAGCAGAGTTTGAAAGACAGACAGACAGACAGAGACAGAGAGATGGAGAGAGTTAGAGGCTGAGTCTGGTCATTGCTACTAGGTCATTGCTACTCTGCTCCTAGGAGGCTGAGGCAGGTGGATCTCTGTGAGTTCAAGGCCATTCTTGTCTACAGAGTGAGTTCCAGGACAGCCAGAGCTACACAGAGAAACCCTGTCCCAAAAAACCAAAAAAAAAAAAAAAAAAAAAAAAGAAAAGAGCAATGTGAGCAAAGGGCCGGTGTGGTTACTCTGTAGTAGAATGCCTATCTGGTTTGTTCCCAGAACCATATTAAAAAACCACCACCAGCAGCGCAGCGGCAGTATTCCAGGCACTTTCTTTCCCTGGCCCATTTAATGCTGGGTCTAGAGCAGCTTGGAAGGAAAGGGATTTGTTGCTAGGGATCAAACCCAGGACCTTACTGAGCTACATCCCCATCCTAAGCAAAGAGAGATTTAAGATCACAGCTGAGCTCCACAGGCAAGAAGTGTTGACCAAACACTTCTCACAGGGTACTGAACTGGGAGCAGGCAGCTGTGCACTAAGGTGTGCTGGCCCAGATGAATGGATGTGTCTTCCATACTTGAGCTCCTGTATCAGGCCTATGGTTGTACTCAAGACTTGGGGAAAGCCAGACCCCTCCCAACTCTCAGTCTGAGTTAACCTCCATCATTCCTGTCCCAGACAATCCCTGGGCTCCTTTAGAATATCACAAAGTAAAATCAGCATGAGATGGGCCAGGTCTGTGGCAAGAGCCATGTACTGGCTAGTTTTATGTCAACTTGACACAAGCTAGAGTCATCAGAGAGGAGGGACCCTCAACTGAGAAAAATCCTTCCCTAAGATCGGGGTGTAGGCAAGCCTGTAGAGCATCCTCTTACTTAGTGACTGAGGTGGGAGGGCCCAGCCAATTGTGGGTGGTACCACCTCTGGGCTAGTGGTCCTGGGTTGTATAAGAAAGCAGGCTGAGCAAGCCAAGGGGAACAAGACAGTAAGCAGCACCCCTCCATGGCCTCTGCATCAGCTCCTGCTTCCAGGTTCCTGTCCTCACTGCTTTTGATAATGGACTGTTATATGGAACTGTGAGTGAAATACACCCTTCCCTCTCCAAGTTGCTTTTGGTAATGGTGTTTCATCACAGCAATAATAACCGAAATCAAGATACTCCTTTCTACTACACAGTTCAGAAGTCCGGCGCATAATCCATCCCAACTTAAAAGCGATCTTCACTGTGGGTTGGTGAAGTCGCTCCATGAGAGAACACTCGCCTAGCATGCATGAGGTACCAGGTTTGATTCCCAGTACCACAAACAAAACAACAACAAAATCAACAAACGCACTAGTCACCCCTCTGCTAAGCTCCCTGGTCTCACACCACCCTGCCTGTGAAGCTCCTGGGTGACCCGGTGCTGCCGGACCCAGCATCCTGCTCAAGTCTTGCTGGGTTATGACTCTCCTCAGCCACCTACATCATGCCTGCCTGTCTTCCCTCTCCTAACATCCACTTTGTCTCCTGAGACATTACCTCTTTCTTAGTGATGCCTTTCAGCTCTGGACTTGAGCTTCTACAAACACTTCTCTGTAGTGGGTAGCTGTTCCAGCTTTGACCTGGAAGTACTACCCCCATTGAGGCTTCTGATAACTGTCATGCCTATGAGGTGGGGCTGAGAGAGGACCCTTAAGACCTGAGATCTGGATGCGCCGGCTCTCTTGGTTCCTGGATCCTGGACGCTGGAGGTAGACTGAGCAGAGTTCTCCAGAGAACACTGCCGGACTGCACTTCGCCTTTCTTGGACCCTGTAACCTATCCCTTTACTTGTAAGTTACCGCACAAAATAAACCTCCTTTTTAACCATGTGGAGTTGCCTTAATACCTCTACCAATACCTCTCCTGTGTATCCTCTTGCCCAGACCATTTTCCTCATCAGCAGATCCCAGTACTCACCTACCTACAGGAAGCAAGCGCTTCAGACTTCACATGCCCAAAACAACCATTGAAATCTACTCCCCAACATCCCTGTCTGTTTCTCTTAGGGCTACTCTGTCCACCCGGGCACAGACCAAGGACCGTAGGGGGTCACTCCGGTTTCCTGTAATCGCATATCACCCAAAGAGTTGACAGATCTTGACTTCATCTATGTGGTTTTAGCTCTGACAAACCACCCTGGATTATTGGGGTAACTTTCTAACATGTCCCCACTGGGTCCCTGCACCTTACAGAGGGTTGTAGGGGTCCCATCATTTAGGTGTATCCTCCTCTGCTCAGACAAGAGACAGGAGCATCACAGTAGCCTATACCACCTAGCTACTTACGCCATTCCCTCCGACACCAAATTTCTCCTCTCAGGCCACATGCTCCCTGGGTCTCTGCAAGGCCTAATCTCCATCCCTCCTCCTGGGTCCCTCAACCTTTCCCGCCTTTCCTGAGACACCAACGTGACTCTTCTCACCCCACACCTCTGAGTCTTTGCCCAGATGTCTCCTGCCCTGAACACTCTACCCTCTGCCCTCCCCACAACGTAAATGACTCTCCCATGTACTCAGTGCTCCTTGCCACCTGGAAGCGAGTAGCATTGATCGTCTCTGCTTCGTCAACAGTACCCAGCTCTGTAAGAGGTTTCACTAGCCCTGGCTAAAGAGTGAACTCGAAGCACCCATAAACATTCTCATACTCAAGAGGTTTCCTTGCTATACATCCTAAGTTTCTCAATGAATGTGAGGTCAAAGAGAGTTGTGAGGGGAGGAATCCAAAGAGGCCACACACAGGGCATCGCCCAAGAATCTTCTTCCTGGCTGTCACACCTGCCCCCCACGCCTCCACCTTCTTATTCTGCAATCTACAGCAGCTCTTCTGAGCAGTGACTCCAAAGGGAACACTGGCTTCCACTCACCCGCCTGGGGAGCTTGAAAGTCCCTTCCCCATTTAAAGCCTGGTTAGAGAAGAGAGACCCCACCTGTACCCAGAGAGCTGTTTCCACAAATGGACAAATAATTGAATGAATTCAATGTCTACTATTAAAAACACAGGATCGAGACGGCTCAGGCTCCACCCCAGCTCTACCATCTACTAGTTCACCTCTGGTTTGCAGGACCTCGCTGGGTTTTACCAACCCACCTGTAGGACAGGAATAAACATGGTGTCTTCTTCCAGCCCCGGGGGTATAGGGAGGATACAAGAGCCTCATCAGCAAAAACAACTGGGCAAGGGGGCAGTCCCCGTGACCCCTGGGAAGTGTGAGCAATCTCTCAGTATCCAGAAGCCCCCAAGAATACCAAACTACACGGATGCCTGCGTCCCTTAAATGAAGCATCCTCTTGTGGGTTTAATTGTCTGGCGATTGCTCACAGTCATTATTGCCCTGTAAAGCCTATGTAACTAGCTGCCCACTTAACCACGTAGGGAGTGTTGATAAGGAATAAAGTCTGCATGTGTTCAATATAAAAGTAATTGAGTTTATATAGAGATTTATTTACTTTTTTTAAGTGTATGAATTCTTGGCCCACATGTATGTGTATGTACCATGACCTGTTATTTGAGTAGGAGGGGATCAGAAAAGGGCATCAGATTCCCCCGGACTGGAGTTTACAGGTGGTTGCAAGTCACCATGTGGGTGCTAGGAATCAAACCAGGTCCTCTGTGGACACCAGGAGTCCGCTGTGATTATCCTCTCCATGTGCACACACCAGTGGCCCAGTGCAGGGCTGAGAAGAAATAAAAGAGCCTACCCCTACCCTCACGATGGTGATTAAGCACTCACTATAGGAGGGTGTCATGGGTACCAGAGCTGTCCCCAGGCCTCACACAGGTGCGTGTGCCCTGTGAGCGCATATCCATACCTGTGGCCCATGTGACAGCTTACCTTCTTCAGAGTCCTTCGAGTTGTTGAACATGCTGGCATTGGCCAGCCTGGGAGCCACCTCACGGGCATTGATAACCTCAGCTTTCCCTATGAAAAGAAACATGTTGGCAGGCCGGGTTGTCCCCAGCCCCTCCTGTCAAGGGAGCCCAGCGGTGGCCCAGCTATACTGCTCTAGTCTGACGTGAGCGGGATGGACCAAGTCACTCGCCCTCCTCACCCTGGGCACTCACGCGTGGTGCTGTTGTAGATGGTGAAGAACAGGCCGCCCCCGATGCCCATACTGTGGGCATTCATGAGCCCCATACACAGCAGGCTTGCAATGGCTGCATCCACCGCGGAGCCACCCTCCTGCAGCACGTCCCTGTAGGCAGCACATAGGAAGGTGAGAGCCTGAGGGCTTCCCAGTCTTTCAGGAGCACCCTGCCACCCTCTCTGGTCACCCTGCCCAAAGGAAGGCAGAAGAAGAGCAAGCCTACACTAGATCGTTCTGGTTTGAGACAGAATCCCGCGGCCTCCCACTCCCTACGTAAGCCCAAGCTGGCCTCCAACCTCAGCCTCCTGAGAGGAGAGGTGAGCGGAGCGGCTGTGCTCAGCTGAGCCGGGTTTTTCATTTCTTTGTTCGTTCCTCACCTGTTTTAGTTTATGGGGCCAGGGCTTTAACCCAAGGGCTGAGAGACGACAGGTGGAATTTTTGGTTTGGATTGGCTTTTTTAAAAAAAATTTGTTTTATCTTGGAGAGAGAGAGAGAGAGAGAGAGAGAGAGAGAGAGAGAGAGAGAGAGAGAGAGAGAGAGAGAGAGAGAGAGAGCGCGAAAGTGTGAAGTGCAGGTTCCTACGAAGGTCAGAGGAGGACATCAGATCCCTTGGATTGAAGGTCCAGGCGGTTGGGAGCTGACTGACATGGGGGAACTCGGGTTCTTTGAAAGAACAGCACACACTCTGAATCATTGAACCATCTCTCTAGCCCCAAAGTTTTTGTTTTTTGGTTGGTTGGTTGGTTGGTTGTTTTTGAGACAGGTTCTCACTATGTAGCTCTGGAACTCATTATGTAAACCAGGCTGGTCTCAAACTTGCAGAGATCCACCTGCCTCTGCCTCCTGAGTGCTGAGGTTAAAGGCACGTGCCACAATGCCTAGCAAAATTTTTGTTTTTTGAAGATATATATATTTTTTTCTTTTCCAAGCAAACAAACACACGTGATTTAGTTGTGAAAAGGGAGGCTATTTTTATCAATAACTTTTTTTCTGACTATGTCTCTAAATGGAAGCTGACTTTTTATGTTTAATGAGATAAAAAATTTAAAATGGGTGGAGGCTAGCCAGAGAGATGGTTCAGTGGCTGCTCTTTCAGAGGACCTGTGTTCAATTCTCAAGCCCCAGGCCCCACATCTCAGCTCACAATTGTCTGTAATCCCCAGTTCCAGGGGATCCAACACTCTCTTCTGGCCTCTGAGGGGAACCAGACACGCAAGTGGCGCATAAACATACATTCAGGCAAAACACCCATACACATACATTTTTTTTAATTAAAAAGAAAAAAACCCACAATCTAAAATGGGAATGGAATTGCACCATTTTTCAGAGACAATATTGAAAAAGAGGGGCCCAAGTTGGCTGTGGGAAAATTAATACCCCGCTCTCAGAGTCTCCGTCCCTTCTCCCCTAGACATTTGCTACCAAGAGAGTCCAAGGAAAGGATGGGCAGTCCCCGGGAATCGGATACTCTGTCCACTTTACAGATGAGGAACCTTAGTCTTGCCCAAGCCACTGTCTTCCAGTACGCCTTGCCCTGGAGCCGGCAGACCTACTTACCGGCCAATCTCTGAGCAGCGCTTCGCGTCCGTGGCCACGGCTGCCCTGGTGTACACATGGTCGGGCTTCCTAGAAGTGTAGGGCAGCCAGATGCAGAGGCCAATGATGACGAATACCAGAACCACGGCCACCAGGCCCAGCATCACAAACCGATTCTTCATGGTTCTGTTGTCCAGTGAGAAGGAGTAGGGTCAGGCCCAGCCTTAGGAACTCCCAGACCATCCCCCACAGGGCATGGTCTAAAGTCAAGCCTCAGGAACACAGCCCTGTGCCTCCTTTTAGCCTCCTGGAACATGCGTGGGCTGTCCAGCCCCCAGATCTCTGGCCAGGCCATTCCTTCTGCCGGAAGCTCTGGATCCCACCTCTGCTACTGCAGAACCTGTTTATCTTCAGGGCTCATTCCCAGCACAGACCCTCCAAGGAGACCTTTCAGACTCCATGTGCCCTGGGAACTTGCCTACAGAAGCCAAGATGCTACTGCCCTGAGATAAACTTCAGGAAGGAGAGGATTCACCACACTTCTTCTGTGTCCCCTACGCTAGCCGAGAGCCTGGCACTATCCATGGACCCCTAGAGCGGCTTGGGGTTGGATATCTATCATGCCTCCCAAGGAGACCCAACAGTCCCCTGAAATAAGTAGACTAGCAACACAGGTCAGGACTTACCGTCCAGTAGGAGCTCCGCACCTTCCCTGGGGAGGTGGCTCCCGAAAAACAGCTGTATAGACAAGCAGGAGCTCCCCACACTCCACAGAAACCTACAGTCAGTCTTCCCTGAAACCCCCGGAGCAGGCCACCTCCTGGTACTCCTGAAAGTCACAAAGTTATACCTGAAGTGGGCCCAGTACTTCCTGGAGTGCCCGATGTGATGATCTCCCTCTGCCTCCCATTGAACTCTGGAGCCAAAGAGGCTGCCAGCCGCTTGCCTGTATGCATGACTTCTCTCAAGCACTGCCCAGGGAAGGGGTCACAGAGCAGGGCAGGGAGGGGCCCGGGCATTCATGTGTAAACCCAGGATTTGGAAGTAAGAGCAGCATGTGAGCAAAGGGATTCAAGGGTCCAGGCCCCTCCTGAGACTGGAGTTGGTATTCACCTGTTGTGGGACTCCTGTGTGCAGCAGGCTGTCACTTGCCAGGGTGTTTTTGCATGACTTGGATGAGAGCATGTGAAGTGTTAACTGGTAGGGGTGGCTAACACCTCTAACGCCAACCCTCAGGTATCTGAAGCGGAAGAATTGCCATGGATTTGAGCCCAGCAGAGGCTACCTAGTGAATTCTAGGCTGGCCTGTGCTACGGTATGAGATACTGTCTCAAAAAAGGGGGGAAGGGGTTGTGGGAGGGGCTGGAGAGATGGCTCAGTGTTTAAGAGCACTCACTGGCTGCTCTTCCAGAGGACCCGGGTTCGATTCCCTGCACCCACACGGCAGCTCACAGATCTGATGCCCTCTTCCGGTCTCTGTGGGCACCGGACATGTGGACAGCACACAGACAAATATGCAAACAAAACACTCATACACAGAAAATAAAGTAAACAAGTCTTAAAAGGAAAACAGGCGTGCCTCATAGCTGACTACTTCTCCTGAAGATTTCCTCCCAGACCATACCGGGAAGGAAACCCCCTAGCCTTGCTCTGAGGCTAGAGGGAAGGATGTAACCAAACAAGAGGGAGGAATGTGTTGACAAAAGTGTGGGATGCTCTCCTCCCAGACTCTATTCCCTCCAAAGGATGGCATCCACAGAAGAGCCTTTTCATGAAGTCCTGGCTGCCTCCTGTTGCACGAATCCTAAATGGTCTCATAAGAAAAACCTGGGCCGGGCGGTGGTGGCGCACGCCTTTAATCCCAGCACTCGGGAGGCAGAGCCAGGCGGATCTCTGTGAGTTCGAGGCCAGCCTGGGCTACCAAGTGAGTTCCAGGAGAGGCACAAAGCTACACAGAGAAACCCTGTCTCGAAAAACCAAAAAAAAAAAGAAAAACCTGGAGGCAGATATTGGGGTGAATGCTGAAAGATCAGAGGAAACAAGCCATAGCCACTTCTCACCTCGCCAACACCTCAGCCGATCCTGTCTCCACGAATTCTCAGACCGAATGCCTCTGAATCCTCAGCAGAAAGGCTCTGAGTTCCTGTCTCCTCCAGCCTTATAGTCCTTTCTCCGCCCAGCCATTTCGCTTCCTGTCTCAACCTCCCTAGTGCTGGAATTAAAGGCGAGTGACTCCCAAGTACTGGGATTAAAGGTGTGGGCCACCACTGCCTGGCTCTGTTTTCTCTTATAGACTGGATTAATCTCGTGTAATCCAGGGTGGCTTTGAACTCACAGGTCCATTACTGTGGTGATATTTTGCGTGCACTCTTAACAAAAAAAGTTTGCCTGAATATCAGAGGACAGAGCCAGCCACTAGATTAAACATGGAGGCCAGGCAGTGGTGGCACACACACCTTTAATCCTAGCACTCGGGAGGCAGAGATCGAGCTGAATCTCTGTGAGTTCAAAGCCACCCTAGACTACATGAGATTAATCCAGTCTATAAGAGAAGCAGTTGCTTGTTTCCTCTGATCTTTCAGCATTTACCCCAATATCTGTCTCTGGGTTTTTATTATAAGACCATTTAGAATTCCTGCAACAGCCTCCCACTCTGGTTCTCCCTGTCCTTATTCAGAGCACCTGAGTTCAGGACCAGACAAGGTATCCCATGGTCTAGGAATGGAGTTCTCGTGCCCTCCCCATACCTGAGGATAAAATGACTGACTCCATAATGGAAAAGCTCCTCTGCCCTGGCTTGGAGGTTTGGGTGGTGGATGGTGTAACATGACTTGGTGCCTCATCTCATGTGGGAAAGTAGATTTGCAACTCTTGAGGCAGAGGGGGGAAACTGAGTCCCCAGAGCAGAGGGGACACCACCCTGTGTCCCCAGTAGTATCCCTAGTAGCTCTCCCTGCCTGAATCCAGGCATGGATCTGACCTGAAGTCAGTCTCATTCCTGTAATCGGTCTGGCCAGCTTGGCCCTCCAGAAGGCAGCTGGAGAGTTCCTCCTATCCATCAGGGCAACCAGGCCCTGTCCTTGTGGTCCAAGGCTCAGTCTCTATCCTTTTCCAGACCCAATAGCCTTCTGAGCACATACCCTGGGCCCTGGGGTGAGCCTAGGTCAGGGTCTAGGATTTCTGGTGTGAAAGTCACACTGGGGGTCTCAAGGGGCCTTAGGAGCCAGGCCAGCAACATGTGGCATCATTCATTGCTGGTACAGAACACTCCCATCTATGCAGTAGGTTAGGGAATGGGCATGGCCAGTGCTCCACCTGTGGCCTCAAGCAGCTCTGGTTCAATTGGGGGATCTTGGGATTCCTTTCTCCCAGGTTTGGGGCTGTAACCTAAAAGTAGTCTCAGGGCCCTGAGGTGAGCCATCTGTGACTCCCACATTACATGTTTCATCCTTCCTTGTCTACCCGGGCATCCCTCTGTCCATCTAACAGCCTCATAAGGACACCCAGCAGGATTCCTCTTCCAAAGAGGCTGGGGAAGGAAGTGGGCAGCCTTGACACCTGACCCCTGTCCCTTCCTTCTGGGACAGCCTGACAGGGAGGGCTGGCCCTGCCTCCTGCGAGCAGCTGTTCCAGTCCAAGCGGAAGACGCCCTGTTGGAAGCCTGGGCTTCCATTTCCCACCCCTCCACCGCAAGTTTTCTCAAAGATTCACTATAAGAATGTGTAAGGCCAGAAGCCCTGGCTCCACCCAAATTGGTGTGGGGATGGAAACTGAGGCACTGCTCCTCAAACCCAGACCCTTCCCTCTCTGTAACTCTGGTGGGTTTCCCAGAGGCACTGGAAGCAGTGGGGACCCAGGAGAGAGCCCCTTCTTCCTCAGGATAGTTCTGGGATGGGGAGGAAGAGGTAAATGGATCCACTTAGGAAGTCCTGGCCATGGAACTGATTGCCACCCCCCAGAAGCAGCCAGAGCCATGCCTGTCACCCTTGCAGAATGGTTCAGCGTCCCCGCCCCTGACTTGGTATCAGGATCTGAGGTTGGACGTCTCCTCAGGGCAGAGGTGGGAAAAGGCTAGCAGAAGCAAAGGACCCATGTGCTTACCTAATCCCAGAGAGGCAAGAGGTCAGCTAAGGGGTGCCTAGATCCCAGAAGGGCGGCTGGAGTCTTCTGAGTGGGGTGTGGAATAGGGACTCCTCTGCAAGAGGTCCAGCCAGACTGGGAGGATGGTCAATATTGACGTCACAGCAGCAAGGAGGCGCTGCCATGAGGCTTGTCCCCAGGTGGCTAAAGTTCATGCAGCCCCAGGAGGGCCCTGAGCAGGGAGGTGGGAGGTGCTAAGAGTCTGGGAAAGGGGCTCCCCTTTCTCAGATTCAGTTCCCTCCAGAGGGCAGAGGCCACCGGTGAGCCCTTCCAGAGAGCCCCTGCTAAGTCCCTCTGTGACTTTAGAGACAGACACGATGTCCCTGAAATGTTCCTGAGGCAGTGAAGTAGGGATGTCCCCTGGCACTAGACCACAGCCCAGATCTTACAGGCGTTGTTGTGCCTTACCGGTCAGTGACAGGTGTATTTCTGGAACAGGGCCTAGGGCCACAGCGTCCAGACCGGTTCAACCACCAATCAAGGAACATTAGCCCCACAGGCCCAATCAATGACAGGAACAGCCTAGAAAGGGCAAGGCCCAGAGAAGGCCAGACCTATCCCAAACTCACACAACCCATCAGGGCAAACCTGCCACCTGGTTCCTGCCCCAAATTGCTGCATGACCCTGACTAGCTCACCAATGAAGTTCCAACAAGACACAGTTGTGGATCTGCCTCAAAAGGCACCCTGTTTCCTCCTGGTCCTCATCGGCCAAGAGGAGCAGTTCCCCAACTCCAGCACAAAGTGTGGTAGACTCCCTATATTCATCAGGATACAAACCTCATACGCCTAGAGATGCTGGCTGCTGTCACACACACCCCCACACCACACATATGCATACTGTATACACACACATAGACCACAAATACATATACACCACACACATGTACATACACACATACTGCACACATACACACATAATGCATACACACATATACTGTACACACACCACACACACCCACACCCCCCCACACATAAACCATATATACATACTGCACACACACTCACATAATACACACACACACACACATACTGCACACACATATACATCACACACAAGCACACACACACATCACACACACATACCCCGAGCTGAATCTAGGCTGAGTAAAGCAGGTTCCCAAGATGCAACGAGAAGCGGGTACAAGAAAGACAGACCAACAGCCAGACCAAAATGTCTCTGCTAATCCTCCAGTAGATCCACTAGAGTCCGTGGGCTGTTATGAAGTCTCCGGGTCACAGGAGTCAAACGAGGCGCAGTTTAAAGACACCCACCAGCAAGAAATGAAGTTTAAGGTCAGGCATGGTGGCGCACACCTTTAAGCTCAGCACTGGGGGGCAGAGTCAGACTGATCTCTGTGAGTTCCAGGCCAGCCAGAGCTACAGAGTGAGGTGTCTCAAAAAGAAAGAAATCAAGAAACTGAAGTTTAGACAAAGGCAGTTTGCCCAGGATCAGCTGTCCCTGGGAGGTCTGCAGATCACACACGGACCAGGACACCCCATCCCACCCCGAATGCTTGTAAGGACACCTGGGTACAAGAACACAGACCTCTTTGGCCTCCCAGTCCTGTCTGTAAGTAAGAAGGACACTTGCTTCTCCCAGACCTGAAGTTGGAATCTGCCTTAAGTTTGCTGCCCAAACTGGTGTGGATGGCAGAGGATCAGAAAACACACCTATAATCCCCTTACACACACCTATACACCTTTACACACACACACACACACACCCCTGTAACCCTTACACACACACCTATACCCCTTACACACACACACACACACACACACACACACACACACACACACACATACACACACACCTATACCCCTTACACACACACCTCTATCTACCCTTTCTACTGCTTGCTGGGAACCTAATGAAAGAGCTTAAAATGCGGAGGCACAGACCTAGAGGGGACAGAGCCTCCTGGAGCTGAATAAATGACTCATTGCACAACGGTCCCTGCCCCACCCCCAGTCCAAGCCCAGAGAGGGACAGGCATGGCTGGAGGGCACAGTGTCTCCGGAACATTGACCATCACTCCTGCCAGGGGCTATCCGATCTTCTCGGCTCTCAGCTGCTTCCAACTCTTAATCCCAAATCCACTTCCAGGGAACCAGGACTCCAAAGCTTCTTTTGAGAAGTCTGTGACTCCACTCCAAACCCTTAACCCCCACCCTACCCCTGCAGAAGAGGGAGAGGAAAGTCTGGGCAGGTCCCCTCATGCCCTGTTGTCAGATAAGAAATAGGGCTCTGCCTACCTGTGTGAACCCAAAGGGACCAGGGCACTGGAGCCTGCGCCGGCCTGCCCGTTATCCAGAAGTGTGTGGCACTCCTGCTGCGCAGGTGGCCGCGAGGAGACTCTGAGAGGATCACTAGAGTCCCTAGAGTGGCATGGCAGAGCTGAGGGACAGAACCAGGTCTTCACACATTCTTGGGAGGGTCTCCAAGTCTATTTTGCCCCACCTACGATGTCCAGCAACTCAGAGAGAGAGAGGAGGACTCTGGGGTCACACCGCAGCCGGGGCACATCCAGACACGTGCCGCATTCACTCCGGGTTCCACACCAGCGGAAGACTAAGTCCCCATCCCCAGCTGTGACCCAGCTCCACCCTTCCCTCCCCCAGCTGGCCGGGGATGGGAGGAGGTTTTAAAGGTACAGGAACTACTCCAGGTAGGGAGAGGGTTGGCACCAAATCCAATCCCTGGTGCCATGTGACCTGGAACGGTAGGGGATAGCGCAGAGCCTGGGAGGTTCCCAATGAGAAACCTGAGTCCCGGGGCAGGTAGAGCTTAAAGAAGCTTTAAAAAGAGGGGGGAGGACTGTGGCTCCTGTGTTCAAATGGGGGTCGCATAGAGCTGGGGTGCAGCCAGATGTCCTAACCCAGTAGAAGTTATGGCTGAAACCCTCTGAGGCCCCACAAGGTCTAAGGAGCCTTTCCAGATGGAGGCTGGCCCTCTGGACTATCTGGACCACAGAGTTGGGGAGGGGCTGCTACTCCAAGTATTTTGGTTAACTGGACTGAAGGACGTCTCCCGACCCAAGAGTCTTTCCTGATCCCTCAACTTTCCAGATAAAGGCAATCTGGCCGATGGGTGGGGGTGGGGTGCACTTGACTGGGGAAGTGGGGGACCATCTGTTTAAGGCCTCACAACCTCTCAGTGAATAAGTTTCCAACAGAGGGGAAAAAATCAGAAGCCTCTAGGCCCTGGGATCTCACAGTGTGTGGCCTGTCAGATTCTCTTCCATTATCATGGGCCTCAGTTTCCCCTCATTCCTTCAACACCACCCCCTCACCCCCACCATCTTCTCCTACTCCCTCTGAACTCTTGTCCTAAGAAGCCTCCAACCTGCTTGGAAATAACACGGTGCTCTCCGGGCCCACACAAAGGCTCAGTAGGTAATGGTGTCTCCTGCTGAGCCGGACAGTGGGAGTTTCAGGAACCAAAGTCAAGTGGCCCAGGAGAGAATGGCCAAGGAGAAAGCTGGCTGTCCTCTGAGCTCCACAGCACTCTGTAGCACATGTATGTACACACACACACACACACACACTAAATGAATAAACACTGGGGGCTGGAAAGACGGCTCAGGGAGCTGGAGAGATGGCTCAGAGGTTAAGACTGCTCTTCCAGAGGTCCTGAGTTCAATTCCCAGCACCCACAGGGTGGCTCACAACCATCTGTAATGAGATCTGGCGCCCTCTTCTGTAAACATAATAAATAAATAAATCTTAAAAAAAAAAAAAAAGAAAAGAAAAGAAAAGACGGCTCAGTAGTTAGCAAGAGCGCTGACGACCCTTTCTTCTGAGGACCCAGGTTCGATTCCCAGTACCCACATGGTGGCTCACAGCCATCTCTAACTCCAGTTCCAGGGGTATCTGATGTCCTCTGTGACTTCCTTGGGCACTTGCACATATGGGGTGCATAGACATACATGTTGGCAAAATACATACACACATAAAATAATAAAATAAAACTTAGAATACTTTAATTATTATTTATGTGTACATGTATATGTTTGTGCATGAGAAGGTCAGGGGGGTGTCAGGTCCCCTGAGGCTGGAATCACTGGCAGTTGTGAGCTGCCTGATGTGGGTGCTGGGAATTGAATTTGAATCCTCTGCAAGAACAGTATATGATATATGTGTGTGTGTGTGTGTGTGTGTGTGTGTGTGTGCATTGGTGTTGACCTGCATGTCTTTGTGAGGGAGTCAGATCCACCGGAAACTTGAGTTACCGACAGGTGTGAGCTGCCATGTGGGTGCTGGGAATTGAACCCGGGTCCTCTGGAAGAGCAACCAGTGCTCTTAACTGCTGAGTCATCTCTCTAGCCCCCAGTATGTGCTCTTAACCACTGAGATGTCTCTCCAGCTCCAAAGTCATAACATAAAGTAAATTTAAAAGAAAGGTTTAAAACAAACAAACAGAAAAACCCATGGACTGGAGAGAGTTCCATGGTTAAGACCCTGGATGCTCTTCCAGAGGACCTAGGTTCGATTCCCATTACCCACATGGTGGCCCACAACTCCAGTTCCAGGTGATCTGACTCAATTCTGGTCTCCAGGGTCACCAGGCACACAAATGGTCCACAGGCAAACAGAAAATAAAATTAAAAAACAAAACAAACATTCAAGCAAAACACCATACACAGAAAATAAAACTAAAAAAACAAAACAAAACGTGCTTTCAGCCAGGTAGGGAGGTCAGGGCCTAGGATGGAAGCCCCAGGAAAGGCTCAGGGTTGGGGCTGAGCCTGGACTGAGGCAGGAGGAAACCTGTGAGTCTGGAGGCTGGACCTTAGCGTTGCAGAGGCAGCTACGGACAGTTCCATGGATGGCGTGGAGGCCTCTTGACCTCCCTTAGCCTCACTTCGAACTCTAAGGTGTCACGGCTGGAAATGGGGGTGGCCAAGCCTGCAAGCCTAGACCTTGAAAGCCAGGCCAGTCTGGACTTTGAGAACCCTGGGAGGTTGGTGAATATATCACCATGCTGGGTAACCCATTAACCCTGGCTTGCTCATTAAGACCCTTGTGGGTGCCTCTTTACTCCTTGGCTAGTTCTGGGGAACTAGCCGGGCAGAGGGCAGTCGTGAGAAGGGAATGTTGGTGGGGGCGGGCGCTGCTGAGGGCTAGCTGACCTGGGCTCTTTGTGTGCTTAACCCTGCAGGAGATTTTGCATGCCAGAGTGGCCTGAGGGTACCACACCACCATTCCAGTGCCTTTCATCTTAAATTCCTTCCTTCTGGGCTGGTACCATCTGTTCATGCCTCAGGGGCCTTGACCAGGCGGAAGACTTAGGAACAGACTTAGGAGGCTCAGGAATTACTCCAGCTCTCCTCTCCAGAGAACATTCTAGAGGAACAGGTTCACAGTGGCCCCCGAGGTACTTCCTGTTTCAAAAGGGTTTTCTTCCCCCACCCCATCTTAGAAAACCAAACACTGGCAAAGCAAGACTTGTGTTGTCAGTACAGGAAACCAGCGCTGGGGTGGCAGTTCTGTGGGCTGAGGAGGGGGTTCTGCTCCCCCCCCCCCGCCATTCAGTGGGACAGAAACCTATTAAAGAAAGGCTGTGCCAACCACTTCCTGGAACTGGCATCTCATTGCAGCCTCCAGCCACACCCCATGTCACTGTCAGGTCCAGAAGGCTGACCACACCTGAATGCCAGGAAGCTCTGGGCAGATCCTGAGCCCCCGGTGGGTAAGGGTTACAGGCTGAGGTCAATAGTCTAAGCTGCACACTCAGTGTGAGTAAGCAAAATGGGTGGATCCAGAGTAAGCGGCACCTTCCCCCCCCCCCCGACACACTCTAGAACACCTGGGGCAGGCTCACCCTCCTTACCCTGGAAGCCAAGAACTCTGATACCATCCGGGGACATTTTATGCCCCCCTCTTAGTAAACTAGTGGACTGAAACTGACTTCAGATCTCAAACATCATAACA